CACAAGCTTGAAGTCCCTCGCGTAACGCTTACAATCTAAATATTTGCTATATAAATTAGGGAGACAGTTTCAAGTGCCACTCGACCGAGTGTTTGTGTTGTTGGGTTGTTTGTTTGGCCAGAGCATTAATAGCACCGAACCAATAAATTGACTTTAAATCTGAGCCCAAGTTCAACAAGGTGCGGCAAGGCTCGCAATGCTCAAAGGGAGCCCCATTTGTGAATGGGTCTAAATTATGCATGGCATTAAAATGTTTTATGGCGCTGCTCAATCTCAAAGCTACCAAATTCAATTGCTATGAATTCATAAGTTTAATTATTTGCATTTGCTAAGCATATAAAATTCACGAGTTCCATTGGAACAGCAAGTGCTGATAGCACTTATCAGAAGCAGCTGATAAAGCCAAGCGAATACAATAAAAAACCACTGAAAAACTATTTACAGTTTAGCAAGCACTGCGCGCTTGTATCTAGCAGATACCACATACAGCTGCAGTTGGTTGAACATTTCTTTTTATGTCTGTCGCTGGCAGGGGTAACATTTGCGACGAGGGTCAGCTCAAACAAAGCAAGTGCCAAAGCCAATAGTTGTCGAAGTGCGGGGCAAGAAAACTAAGTGCCCTATCATGCGGGTGTTTAAACAAATATACGCACAAGTTGCGGTGCTTGATGTGGTTGAGGGTTGGGGTTGGGGTTGGGGCGTTTGCCAGCGCAGCGAAAGTCAAGTGCAAAGCAATAACACGCAAGGCTAAACTAAGCTGAACTAAGCTTAACCAATAGGTCGAAAGGTAAATTGAAATGGCAGACACACTCACAGACAACCAGGCACACTCACAGAGTTCAAGTTGGACACGTATCTGTCAGATATATTTACCCACATTTGACAACAAATGTAACTTTGCTGATGAAGCGACAAGCTCTAATGAGCCTTTAAATGTCGAGCAACTTTAGTAACAGGCCCCTTTATTGAGGGGGACCAGATAAGTTTGATTAACGTTAATTAGAAGTGCAGCATATAGTATATATGTCTATAAATTTCGCTTTCTAGACACATGGCTAGTATATGGAAATAGCTTGCAGCTGCTGTCACAGAATTTGCCTTTGGTTTTGGGGCTCGTATTTTCAGCTAGCTGCAAGATTTGCGCTTCATGATAAATGTGGGAAAACGTGCACAAGCTGCCAAGCAAACTGTTTGAGGCGGGTTGGATACCCAGGAGAGCATTCGAAGTGGGGTAACTACTAGATAGCTTGTATAATATGCAGATTTGCTGCGTTGGCTGACTGTTTGTGAACGGGTTAAGCCGAAGCATTCACAAGTGAAGGGGTTGAGTCTCCATCCTTCTGCCTCTGCTGACAGTTAAGCTTTAAGTTTGGCCATTAAACAGCAACTTGAAGATCAAAACAATGGCCACAACTCGCTTTGCTCCAGATTACAAAAGGTTTCAGTCAACTGCAGGGAGGACTTTGTCAATTGGTCAATCCACAACAACTGGCTGCAATATTTGAGAAGCGCACAGAAAAAGACTTTCAGCTTCAAACTTCAACTTTGCAGACGATAATAGCTCTGCAAATATCCAATCGTGGTTTGTGCAGACAAACGATTGTCTGACGGCAACTTTAAAGAGCTGCGTATCTTATAGATAAATAGTTTTCGAAGTAGAATGCGATAGGCGGAGATATCAAGCAATTGCAAGCGACAATAATTAGAATTTAGTAAGAAACGGGAAATGTGGCTAAACTTTTATCTGGTTTCCCTTTAAAAGAGAAAAAGTAATTTGTTATACTCTGTGCACAAGCTGAAAGAGAGTATATTCTGATTGTGTCTTGCTGTCAGTCTGTTCTAATTTTTTATGCAGCTTAAAGTTAGAGATGAGTTTTTTACAAATTTTTTTAATTTTTATATAGAGTCAATATTGTTTTTAGCTATATTCATACACTGCGAACTGAGTATTGCGTAGTCGGTTGCAGCGGACGGCAACATTTTTACAGATTTTGGTTTCCTTGCGCAACAAAAAACAAGCCAGAGTGCGCTAGTCGGCAGTGCCCGACTAAGAGCTAGCCCGTATACGCACTGAGCACCCGTTATAAACATTCTATTTTAGTTGAGAACGGAAGAGGTCTTCATAAAGTGAAATTATTATACGAAAGATTATTTACAGACGGAAGGACATGGCTAGATTGACTCGGTTGTTTCTGCTAAGAAATTAAATATATATACATAATGGGATCAAAGATGTTTCCATTCACCTGTGACACACATATTCATAAAAACAATATACCCCTTTTACCAAGTTTGAATGGGTATAGGGCATTAAAAGCTACTGTCTCTTAAGCATTATAATCATAATCATAATCATCCTGCTTGTGCTAGCTTACTCGCTAATAGCATAGAGAGCATATTATGACTACGATTATATATAATATATCTGAAAAGTATACAAATATAAGTGTTATGCAATATTAAAGTGAGCGTGTAAGCGACGTTTTCGCTAATGGCTTTAACTAAAGCTTAGCTGCTGCTCTCACTTTTTGATAACTGGAGTAACACACGAAAAGCTCTACAAGCCAAAAAGCTTAATAATTATATTAGTTGACAATTATCATCCGTACTCCAAAGCAGCTTAATACTTATATTAACCGACCAATATCAGCTGTACTCTATAGTATTAGTAGATAGCTTTCGAGTGTCATTTGTTAGGCGCACATAAAAATCAAGTGCAACTGAATGCCAAACAATAAACCGGTTCGGTTGTTTGAATGCCATTTGCATAAATTTGTTCCTTTATTGTTGTTATTCAACTTGAATTGTATATTTTTGCAAGAGGATACATGCCGGACATCCACACTCACACACTCGCACACTCACTCATACACACGCACACACTCGTGCAATCTGTGTATAGTTGTGCCTTAATCAAATATCAATTGCATTGGGTTTTTGTTAGCAAAATTTATTTACGGCACAGCCGAAAATAATTGTTGACCAAGGCCATAACCGCATCTGCCACGCCCCAAACAGCCCCCCCAGTGACAACGAATAGGAAAAACAAATGGACCAATAACAAGCAACAATGCACACATAGAACAAAATCCATGCAGTGTTAGAGAGTTGAATGGTAGGGAGGGAGGGAGGGGGGAGCTGTCGTATGAGGGCTTCGTTCTAACACACATTTTGTGTTGTGCGGCAGACCGAATGGCGCCAATAAAACTTTTTTTTATGCTATTCGAACATAAATAAAGAAATAAAAAAAATAACGAACAAGCAAACAAACTTTAGTTACAATTTGGGACAGAGACTAAAACGTGAGTGGAAGAGCGGATGAGAAGTGGACCAAGAACGTGCCGAAGCTAAATTATGACAGCCGCAATGAGGATGCCAGCGAAAAATCTAGCGACACCCTGTGCTGATTTGTGTGTGTGTGTGTGTGTGTGTGTGTGTGTGTGTGTGTGTGTGTGTGTGTGTGTGTGTGTGTGTGTGTGTGTGTGTGTGTGTGTGTGTGTGTGTGTGTGTGTGTGCAGTGCAATCAATGTTGTTGCTTTTAGTATTGCTTTGGCTTTGTTGACTCTAATCAGCTTCTCTGAGCGCAAAACACATGCAAATGAAGTGCCAAAAACAACGGAAACAACAACAACAACATGTGTCACGGCACAAGAATAACACGCTATAATGCAAATAATGTGCCGTTATATCTCTTGCGAGTATCAAATAACGTTGACAGGGTGGCGTTCGACCAAGCACCTCCTCGGCCGCTCGGCTCCTCGACACGCAAACGCCCAGCTGATAAAAACTTTTTTTTTTTACAGCACTTTTTGTCAACATTTTGTTTTGTTTGGGTTTTGTTTGCATTTGCCGCTCCCGCTCCCATTTACATTGGTAAGACAAATAAAAGCTGGCGCTACTCATGTGCTCTCTCTCTCTCTCTCTCTCTTTCTCTTTTTCTCTCTGCTCAAACAAATAACGACAAATTTGATCGTTTCGTATGCAAATCGTGTTTGCCATAAAAGAACATGTTTTGGACATTGTATGTAAATAATTTTATTCTACACTTGCTTTTCCTGTGCCTTTCGTTGCGTGGGTCGTTAATTGTCTCACCTGAGACCTGAGCCCAAAAAGCCGGAGCAGTTATGTGCAAATGCCGATAGGGTCTTTTAGGGGTCACCAGATGATTCACAAGCGACTGGTTGAATTCGAGATAAGAGAGAGGCCGAGAGCAACAATTCCAACGAGTTCGCACAGTTTGGGCGTCACTGAGCAGTGCAAGCGTGCGTTGAAGTTCAACAATTTCAAAACCGATCGCTCTCAATTTTAATTAAATGCTTTTGCGTGACTGGCACAACAACAACAAACACACATACTAACGCTGAGGGGTGGCAGGCCAGGATTGCATACATACATATTCACAAACACAAATGTAACTTAACATTACCTGTGCTGTCTGTGCGACTCAATGAGAGTGAATTTTAATTGAAGTTCTAGAGAGCGAGAGCGCGAGAGTGAGAGACACGATGAGCGGGAGAGCATCAAAGCTGACGAAGCGGCTTTGGTGTGTGCAAAAAGTAAGCAAACAGCAACAACAAAAGGAAGCATGTAAGAAAAGGCAGGCAATAAAAGAGCACCGAAAAAACATAATAGAATGTATAATGTGTATGTGTGTGTGTGTATGTATGTATGTGTGCGTAAGTATATTTTGTTTTTGCTTTCATGTTTCTGCTTTCGCATAAATTTAAATAATTTTTTAAATGTGCCCACATGCGCTTAAAAGAACTCACGCATGTTGTATTATGTACATATGAATGTATGTGTATATACATATGCACGTATGTATGTATATATGCATGTTATACTTTTGTCGCTGCCGGCAGCGAAGTCAAAGAACAAGTGTGTATTTTATTTATATAAATTCCGATAGTCGCCGGCAGCCGGCGGCCGTCAGCTGCTCCCCCGGAGCGCCACTAGCGATGTGTTTGTGTGTGTGCGTATTTATAGGACGTTTCACTTACCAATGTTGCGAGAGTCGTGGTCACCGGCGCCAGACGCAGGCCGCAGCATTCGAACTGACGCACATTGGAGCGGCGCAGGAGCTGGCGAATGTTGCTCAAGATAACGGCACCGTGCTTGGACATTGTGCGGCGGCCGGAGCTGGAACTGGGTCTAGTGCCAAACAGGAACTGGCGCGAGAGATCACAGCAGTAACAACAGAACTATTCACAAATTATGATTCACAATAGACGATGCACTGCTAAAAGCATAGGCAAGGCGCAGGGGGCGATGTACAAGCCGGCCAATGACTAAGAACCTTGCTGTCGTCGGTGTCGGTATTGTTGTTGTTGTTGTTGCTGTTGTTTTACTTAGCAGATTACAATGCGTCAAAGTAAACTCTGCCTTGAATTTCACTGCTAAACAAAAACTTTTTTGCTGCACTCAATTATCATTTAGAGCCATAAAATTGCGATGCTCATCTTAAAATTGTATAATTTGGAGTTGCCAAAAAGAGTCAATTATAAAATTTGCAAAATATTCGGTTCGGCCTTTAATAAAACCGAAATTTAGTTTATCCGAAAAATTCAAAAAACAAAAAAAAATAATGTAAATTATAAATGTTTGCTACTAGGCAAAGGCACAAGGCAAACTGACATTAAATTGAGAACAAACTCTTTTGGTTTATGTATGTATGTTAAACAAAATGCAACAGTGCCACAACAACAGTAACAGCAACAACAACAGTAACAGCAACAAGAACAACAACACAAAACGACAACAAAGGCGGCGCCAAAAAGGTGGAAAGACGAGAAGCAGACAATGCGCAAAGAATAGAAATTTACCGGTTTTTTTTTCGCTCTTTTCTTTTTTTGTTTTTGCTAATCACTGGAAAACTAAACGCGGCACATGTTTCGCACAGAACCGAACGATAAGCGAAGATGCTTTAGCTATTGATATTAACTGCGTTATTTTATTTTATATTCATATTTGATTGGGCTGTTGAGCTGTGCCTTTTCCCATCAGCGAGCTCTGCAGTTGGCACTCGAGCTTTGGACTGGCAGCGGCGACACAGAACACACGTGTTGGCGGCAATGGCGGCGGCTTTTTCGAAAGGTCTTGTTGCACGTTGTGCAACAAATTTATAAATTTAATTGAAATTCTAAATATAATGCTTAATTTCTAAAGAAAGCAAACGCAACACGCCAACGCCGTAGCCGAACCGCGCGCGTGAAAGTTTGATAACAGACTGCTGTTAAAATCCAAGCTGGCTGTTGGACCCCTTTTGGCGCAAACGCAAGCAGCCAGTTCGAAAATTCGATAACAGCTGATCTGGCTGGTCTGTTAATCGGCGCTGGCTGGTATGCACATACAGTTTTCGACATACCTTCGCCAAGCAAAAATTCGAAAATCTCTGAAATGTCAACTATTATATATTGTGTGAGACACCTGTTGAAATATTAGTTTGCGCAGACTCATTTATGTATAAAATAAGCAATTTGTATGTTAACACAAGGATGGTCTTAACAGTACTCCTCATGAGCAAACTGTTAACTAACAGATTCGTTAAGTGAGTATTATCGTAAAGTAGGCGATTTCGTTGCATGGAAACTTCTACAGTAGCCCATGTGGCACCGCCAGTAAGTTTACTAAAGACACGCACCTGGTGCGTGTACAGGCTGAACAGGGTGATTACTTCAAATAGGAAAGTTGACAACGGTTTTTCAAAAAATACAATATTTGCGGTTGCATTTAAATTTTCGCTTTTATTATTGTCGCATTACGAATCTAAACTTGAACTAGTTTATATATATATATATATATATCCAACTATACAATATACATACTATATAGAGCTTTGCTTAGTGCTTTAATCATACAACTAGAAGGTTTCTTTTAAGCATTTCTCTGCTCGTTCGCTGCGCTCGCATTTTGTACGCTAAAAACATTTATAATACACTTAAAACAATTAGCAGCCTTATGTATATATACTATATATATATATATATGTAACATATGTATAGCACTCGCAACTGCAGAGACAGGCTTTACAGTTTTGGCATGGATTAAAATGTTAATCAAATAGTATACAAATTGTTGAAAACATAAATATTTATAAGTAGTTATTCAGTTAATTCTGCAATCGTATTGTGTGTTTCGGAGTCTTTGATAAAAGTTTACATAAACAGTTTTGAGGTAATAACGAAATGAATCAAGTCAGAGTTAATTGGACGCATAATTACCGCTACAATTGGCTGTGATTTTTATGGGTTTTACATACTTCTTGCATTTAATAATTATTTCTATTATTTTTTTTTTTTTTATTATTTTTAACATTTAAACAACTAACAAAGCGCATGAATGCATTTATGCATTTATTCATGATGCTTTTGGTATAGATTACAATGCGCAGACAGCACAGACACAGACACACTCACACACAGACACCCACACACAGACATACATACATTTCATTATACTATTTACACAATATTACGCACACCTATACACACACACAGTCAGACACACGCTAGTTAACTGTTTTTATATTCAACTGACAACTGCAGCGACATCATTAAATAGCTGCAACAACAACAACAACAACAACAATAAACAAGATTTATGCATATTCAAAGCGGCTAATTGTGTTGTTTTTGTTTTTGCTTTTGCTTTTGTTTCGTTTTACAGTTCTGCCAGTTGCTGTCGCTGATGCTGCTGCTGCCGACGCCGCCTCTGCTGCTGCTGCTGCTGCGCTGCTTGCTCGACCATGCTGCATAGTTACAGGCGTCGCTGCTGGCGCCGCTGCCGCCGCCGCCGCCATTTGCAGCCAGTGCAACTGTTTCCTGAGTTTAGCACGCAATTTGCGATATTTGTTGCCGCCGATTCCAATTCCTAAACCAATTCCAAGTTCGACAGCGCCAATGGCCACGCCTCCAAATAGCTGCTATCACGTGCCCGTGGACAAATCATCCTTGAGCCATTGCGGTATGGGACGTGAGCCGAGCTTCTTCAGCAGCTTCTCCAGCGCCGTATTGTGGTTCAGATAGTAGCTGTAACGGCGGGGCGAGGGAGGAGAAGAGAGAGAGAGAGAGATAAGTTTTAAAATGCGGCAGCTTAAAATTTGAAATTCAAATTCGACGGCTGCGTTTTCAAGATTTAAAAGTTTGCTTTGCATTGTTTGTCATGCTGCCCCTTTTCAAAAAGTGAAGTGCAAAAAGTCAAGTGTGCCCAAATATATATATATATGTATATATATATATATTTTTTTTTATAAAAACAACGGGAAGTTTAGGAATTTATGTGTCTTCCACTCAAATCCTTGCCAGTCAGCTTTAAAATTATAGTCTGGCAACGTTTATTTTTTTGTTTTTGTTATATTCCAATTGGAAATGCGAAATACAAGCAATCCTTGTTGAGTTCATTGTTTTTGTTTGTTTTTCTGCAATTTGAGCTCTTTATCTGATTGAAGCTATTTAATTTCCTTTTCCAAGATAAGGAACTTCAAAAATATCACAGCCAATTTTTAATAAGCTAACCTCAATTTTCAATACAACGAATCTGCTTCTCTGCCAACTTTCTATAGAAAGGCTTTAGCTGCAATTGCTGCATCTCATATTCTGCCACATCATCAGTCAGTCAGTCAGTTAGTCAGGCAGTCAGCCAGTCTAATGAACTTGCCTAAGCTGCTGCATCAAGTGCTTCGAGTTGCTTTTCATATTTTATGCTCCATATTCGGTTCATTGTGAGATGTCTAATAAAAAAACACAGGCTCGTTTAGCTCCTGGAATCGCTGAATATAAAAGGGTTTACGCCGCGCCGCTCAACTGACAGCTGGCATCCGAAATCGTAGAACAGTAAAGTGCACTTTCCACGGCCGCAAAATGCCATACAGAAACCTGCCGGCCTACCCGCTGGAACCCCCCCATCCTCCTGCTCTGCTGTAACCCAAACTCGGCACAATTCACACAACTATGCTATCTACCCACACACATACACATACACACACTCACTCATGTAAGTGTGTGTGTGTGTGTTTGTGTTCATTAATCCTTCACTCAAAGCATAGTTGCCAACGCCGTCGCAGCCGTCGTCATCTGTCTGTCGCCCCAAAACCAACCCAAATCACTCATACGACCCGTTTTTCATTCTCTTTTTTTTTTTTTTTTTGTTTCTATATTTTTTGTAGAGTTTCAGGTTTTTACTCACCGCTGCAACAGCTTGGCACTGCGCTCATCCATTTGGGGGTATTGGCGCCCCTTGGACTTGCCAAGGCATTTATTGCGCTTCTCGCTGACAGCCTGGCAGTAGAAGCCCTTCTTCACATCGTAGCGCAGGTGATTGGAATAGTCGAGGAGCGGTTGGATTTTCAAAAAGCGCTGCAGCTCGTTCATCACATCGATGGGATTGAGGCGCAATTGCTCGCCATCGATTATATGCACCTGCTGGGCGGGATAGTAGGCCAGCCAGTGCTCCAGATGCTGTGCGTATTTGCCCGGATTGAGGCATCGATTCCGCAAATCCTTTAGTGCACGCGGCGCCGAATCGCTGGCAGTTATGACCTATGTAACACAAAGACCAAGCACCAATGGCATAAGTTAAACGAGTCTCATTTAACGAGTTCAGGCGCTGGCTGACCAAATAAAATGGTCTCTGGTCCAGACATATGAAAAGTTTGCAAAGTCAGAGTTCAAACACATGTCAAAAAATGCTGCAGCAAATGGTGGCAAGACGTGGCCAAAACATATGTTCAGGTGGCAGATGCAATTAAATATGCTGCAATTGCAATTGCAGCTGGCCACAAAGGAATCTGCATGCAAATCGAAAAATGATGCCGTCAAGTTGTTTTTCTAAGCCGGACAGTGCCAGTTCCATGGAGTGGGCGTATGGGGTCGTATGAAAATGAAATTGAAAAGCCATTTTGTGGTGCGCCAAATGAATTTCATTTCATTTTGAATAGTTGCTCCGGCTCCAGCTGCAATGAATGCCACATCAAGCAAACCCAACTGGTATCCGCTGGACAACCAGTTCCGAAATGCACTTTAACTGCACAAAGATCTCTGAATGTGGTTGCGTTTCATGCGCTTGGCTTATGCTCAATTGATGGATAGTTCATTAGATTTCTATGCATTTGCAGCTGACAGCTGTTGACTAATGAACCGAAAACAATCATGCCAAATGCAGAACTGGCCATGCATTTGGCCTTCTTTAATGAAAAGTTATTTATGGACTAAACTGCATATTTTTAATAGGTTAGAGGAATCCTATAGTAGCTGACATGTGGCATATAAAGTGTGCATGCAACTTGAGGAACTGAAAACAGATTGCTGAAATCTTGAATAGCTTTGTCCATACACAATATAATATTGTAATCTTTTAAAACAAGTTTTTTATATAATTTACGAGAGAATTCTTTTCGATTTTTCCTATAAAATATCCATGATATAGTAATCTGTTGTATACAATTATTTGCTTTAATATTAGAAGTTGAATGAAGCAAGTATTCGAAGAGTTTCGGAAAAGATATATAATATTATTATGACCTATGTCCATATAGGAAATTTTAACGTATCTTCTTTTTCATATGAATTTTAACCAACAACAATATTGTTAACAAAGAAAAAAATAAGAAATTTTGACCTATGTCTATATAAGATATTTCAGGGTTCCATTTTGACATGAATTTGGACCAAAAATGATGTTGCCAGATTTAGATGCCAAATTGATCTAGAGGCCAAACCATGAAGAAAAAGCCAAACCTCTTAAAAATCTGATGAGATTTGACCGAGTTATGGGGTCGGGAATTTTCGATCTATGTCTATATAAGATATTTCAGGGTTCCATTTTGACATGAATTTGGACCAAAAATGATGTTGCCAGATTTAGATGCCAAATTGATCTAGAGGCCAAACCATGAAGAAAAAGCCAAACCTCTTAAAAATCTGATGAGATTTGACCGAGTTATGGGGTCGGGAAATTTTGACCTATGTCTATATAAGATATTTCAGGGTTCCATTTTGACATGAATTTGGACCAAAAATGATGTTGCCAGATTTAGATGCCAAATTGATCTAGAGGCCAAACCATGAAGAAAAAGCCAAACCTCTTAAAAATCTGATGAGATTTGACCGAGTTATGGGGGTGGGAAATTTCGAACTATGTCAATATAAGATATTTCAGGGTTCCATTTTGACATGAATTTGGACCAAAAAATATGTTGCCAGATTTAGATGCCAAATTGATCTAGAGGCCAAACCATGAAGAAAAAGCCAAACCTCTTAAAAATCTGATGAGATTTGACCGAGT